TCCGGACAATATTTTTGACAACATGACATCAGAAATAAACCTACAAGAAATTGACAGCGCCTTATATAACTTACCCAAATGTAAAGCCCCAGGTCTGACCCTTATTTCCTATAAAGTCTGGTCCCTGTTCGGTGCCTCAGTCAGAAATTACATCAAAATACTCTTTAACAAAGTATTAAACTCAAACACAGTCCCTAAATTTTGGAAGCAATCAGCTATCACACTTCTTTCAAAAAAAATTATTTGGTTATATGATCATACAGACATATAACCAATCTTCCTAATTGAAACTAGCAGAAAAATTTTCACAAAAATCAAGAACAACAGATTGTCACAAACAATTACTAATAACAATATTCTCTTTAGTTTCAACTTTGCAGGTCTTAAAAACCAGAGCACCATAGAGTCCATCACCATCACTTCAGACATAAACATAGCTAATAACAGCAACAAAGAAATCTGGGTTGCCTCCTTCGACATCTCCAAAGTCTTTGACTCTGTTAATTTGTCAAGTCTAAACAAAGCCCTTAAATGTATCAAACTCGTACCGAAGCTTATCTCAATCATTCTAGATCTACTCAACAATAAGAAACTCAAAATAATAATCTACTACAAACTAACTGATCCATTAGTAGTTAACAAAGACCTTGACCAAGATAAAACACTTGCGCCACTCCTCTAAACAATCTTCTATAATCCCATGGTTATCAGAATCACAAGAGAACATTAGCTATCCACAAAAATTTTAACATATATGGATGACGTGGCTCTTTCAAGCCACAACATGACATCTCTTCAATTGGCCACCAATACCTTTTGCTCCTTTCTATCTCTTAACTCTATCAAATGTAACAAAAACAAAACAGACCTTATCATGAATCTCAGTACAAAAAGTCCTAAAAGAAAGCAGTTCTTATTTATTGAAAATGAACAAATATTTCCCAAACATCACAATAACTGTATCAAATATTTTGGAATTTATCTCTCTGGCAAATCAACCATCCAATCCACCAAAGTAAAACTTGTAAAAAAATCCATGACTTCTCAAATGCAATAGCTTCTCAAAAAGGTTGGAATGATCATATCATTCATCAGGCATTACACTAGATCATACCAGCTTAACTCAAGTATGCAATAACAGCTGCAATTCCATCAGACAATAACATCAATATTCTATAAACAAATATAAACAAGTCCATTAAAATCAAGCTAGGCATTGAATGCATTATTTCAAATAAAATCTCTTACTCACAGGCAGGCCTCAATATAATCAAACTTCAAAACCATAGAGACCTCACAACCATAAAAATTCTAGTTATCAAACTCATTAATTCTATCATACGACCTACAACAATAAAAGAAATCCAATCAATTCAAGCCTCACATATCATCTGATACTGTCCAATATGCCAACTACACTACTTCTCTGACTTATGGCTTATCACAGCAGCTATTCTTGCAAAAAAATATGAAATCAGAATTTGCCCCTATCCATGTTTTTTTAACCTTCAAAATCACGAGTACTCCATAGGATTAACAACCAAACTTAACAAACTAACTGCCCTTCATTTCTCAAACTCTAACATCAAAACCATTCACAACACATACACTCTTAATAAAGATTACAAACTCTCTTGGGACGAGTTATATACCTACAGAGGCTTTATAACCTGAGGTTCTATTCCATCATGGTTCATCAACATCTCAGTCCGATCCAATGCCATAATCAACAACACTACTTTTTTTCCTAATTCAAAAAGAAAATTCTGGGCCTATCTGGACAACCAAACTATTAACCTAATCAAAACTAGATTAAATGCACTTCCGGCAATCTTAATAATAGGCCAATACTACATAATCAATAATCAAAAAAGAATTTACAAATGTTCATGTCCTACTCAACCATATCTTAAAGAAAAAAACATTAAAAACCTCAAGTCAATCTGATTCATCATATGACTCAATACTTCTTATATTCTTAACAATTTAAATGAACTTAAGGACTCCTTTCACCCTTTTTCACAAGCAACTTCACAAGTTACTATCATTACCAATACTCAACACAATTTGCAACATCACCCATATTTTCTTTAGCAACAATAAATGATTTAGTTGTTCTAAATCTTAATACTACAATATACTATGCAACAAACACAAACTTCTGGTTTGCTTTCTGGCCAATACTTTATCAAGCTATAGATAAAATCTCTCAATCATCCATCATTAAAATATATTTAAACAATATACCTGACCTATCAGTGCCTGATTATATAAACAGACAAATCAAAATCCCATATAGTCATTTTATTAGCAACTTCAATGACATTGCCAAATCAAAAAACCTAACTATATACTGGTTCAAACTCAAAAATAAATAGTCTCCACTATACAATATCACATCAACAACAATAACACCTCTACTAATTCTCTTCTTAATATATACAATCTCTCCACTAATTAATAACAAGCATGCTACCAGTATAGTCCACTGAATAAAGTTCATCAACTTTTACACAAATCTATTCAACACCCTGCTAAGCCAAACTTCATATTTTAGACCTTCAACACTTTTTAACCTTGAAACCATCATTAAAGTCAACAGAAAACTAAAAAAACCAGACCAACTTAAGTACAGAGCCTTATCCACTTTCAGAACCAAAATTATAGTCAATCAGCTTCTCACCAGATCAAAATTAAATAGAAGATATCCTAGCTTATATACTGACGACCTTTGTCCCAGGTACAAAGCTTTCACTGGGAACATTCCACACGTTTTCTCTTGTATACACAACTACTTCCTTATTAACAAAAAAAAATCCAAATTATAAAAACTCATTCTTGAATCTAATAATAAAAACTCAACAATAACGAATTTGAAAAATACACTCAATCTATAAAGTCAGGATCTAATTCTTTTCCACATGCAACTATCAGCCCCACCTCAATCATATTCAAAAAAGAAGAGAGAAAATCTCAAACTATACTCTGAAAATTCTTTACAAAGCTTGGAAACAATGATCTGCGACCTTAACAACTTTACTATTCTCAAGAATTATATGGAGAAAAACCCCAAATGCTACTCTTAACGATAATAATAACTTAATGAAAAATAACAATTCAGCATTTATTAAAGTACTTAATACATTACAAAATTCAAACAACTTTACTAATAAAAAAATATTTATTCTAGCAATAGTTTCATCGTTTTGAATGAGCATTAGCTATTCTGTACTATCTATATAAATCCACCTACTTGATGAAAATTTGTATAGCTAGTTCAAGTTGCAATAGGCTATAATTAATTTATATTCTTCTTTACAAAGATTATTAATGTAATGATAATAAACTCATTGTTTAAATAAAGTCTCGCATTTAATACCTGTTTGTGATTAAAAAAAAAAATAATAATAATAAATAAATAATTTTTATTTAAATATTAAAAAATTAAATTAATTATCAACAATACTTTTGATTTTATTATTTAAGATATTTGCTTGAAAATAAAAACAATTGCTTTTAATTTTAAAAATTTTTATTAATAAAAATTTATCTTTAAAGAAATATAATATAATATTATTAATTATAAATAAGTTATTGAAATATATTTATATTATAAAATATTTTTTTTAATATAACAAAAATGAATTCTTATTATTTTTTAACAAAATCACTTTTAATTTATTTTAAATTAAAATCAATAAATTTATTAAATTAACCTATAAAATTTTTTCAAAATGTTTTAATGCAATCTTGATTAGTTACAATTATGGTCCTGAAAATTGGAATCAAACAGACTTGTATAGATTCACATAAGATTCAAAACACTATTAAAAAGAATAGTAGGTTATAACTCACATATTAAATTTAATATGAACTTGAGAATCAAGAATCAAATCAAATCAAGTTATTAGGATTCTTAGTTACAATAATTTCAATCTAACTTTGCTAAAAGAAAAACAAAAAACTATATTTGTTAAAAAAAAAATTATATAAATTATTTTTTTAATTCTTAATTATTATTATATTTAATTCTTAATAAATAATTATATAAAAAATTCTTTGATTAAAATTTTATGATATATATTCTATCATTGATATACTATTACTTAATATAATAAAAAAAATTATATATATTTTTTTAATCATATATTTATTATTCGTCTTTTATTCTTTAAATACGATTTTTCCTTATAATATTAAATTTCAAATTAAATTTATCATATTACCGATAACAATTACATGTATATATAGTATATTTATATATACTATATACCCGTTTATATACGGTATAAAATTTATATAACATTTATTTTTAAAAGATTTGCTATGTACCGTATAACTGTTTTTTTCTAAAAATGATATTAGATTTTTTTTAAATAAAAAAATTTCAAGTATAATAATACAATTTATAATTTGAATTAATGATTAATTGATAGAAAAATTTAAAAGCGAAGCAAAAACATAAATAATAAATAATAATAAATATTTTTAAATAAAATAAAATACGATAAAAGTAATTAATTAACTTAATTTTTAAAAATTATTTAGATTTTAATTGAAACTAAGGAGAAAATTTACAAGATATAGCTTTTCAACGACATGACTTGCCATTTTTTTTATTTCTTTGAACTGTATTTAGGCCGAATTGAAATGACAAGTAGTTTCAATATTAACAAATGATCGGCAACAGCACATTTTAGGAACAATGCTGTTATTTCTTTTTTACTATTGTCTTCAAAAGCTTTATTCTTGAAACTAATTAGTTTCAGATTTCTAGCCGGCCAATCAAATACAGCATTCTATTTCTGATAATTTCCAAATTGGGAAACATGTAGAAAAAACAATATATAGTGCCAACAAACTGATTCACGTCCTGTAGGCCGGTCCTCTTTTCGCTCATTCTTCATAGTATACAATTGACATCGTTAGAAAACAACTTTGATAGTCGAGAATTATACACATAAGTTACCGCAACAAGTAATTACAATAGTAAAGAACAGATGTTTTTAAAAGCTAAAACACCACGATTTCTCTCATCGTCGGGCGCGTCATCAACGGGATCCGTTATCTCACCAAGTGAAGAAGGTTTCCGACAAAGATCAAAAACGATGTCACCAAAATGGCAGTATACGAGTAAGGATGACGAAGAAAAGTTACCTGCTTCAGCTTATCCTGGTATGCACAATGCGTTTATGATAGCTATATTATTGTCACCGCGAACACGAACCTAACCTTCTCATTTCCTAATTTCCAAAATACCAGAACAGCTGCCTTCGCCCTGTGATGTTAAGCCATATATAGGGCTTCGTGCAAAGTTGTCATTAGCCTGGGTTGCCTATCCCATAATATCATTATTCATTATCGTCCTTCGTTTGATCTTTGTTATGTCCTCGATTCAACCTTTTGTTAATGACGTTAAAGCTGATGCCATGAAAGCGTGTGGCGCCCTGGAATTAGCAACTTCCACTATCACTTCTTTACCCCATTTTACGGCAGATGGATTTAATCGTGCAACCGTGAATGTAGTAAATCTATCTATCAAAGGATTCACGGAGACCCTTGATCTATCCATATTAGCCCTTGAAGGTATCATCTTCTGGATAATAAAGGTGTTCCGAAGCACCTATAAATGTTTGTTAGAATTGTCAGTACGTGCTTCCGTGAGCATTTCACTGGAAACTGTTAACGCGTTACAACAATTCACCACCACACAACTTGGGACAATTAAGTCTGGTATTGACGATGAAGTAAAAAATCTAAATTCCGCTCTTGACGGTATTAGGTCAAAAGTTATCGGAATCCAGATTCCGACGGTCTCTATTTCTTCGGCAGATTCATTGAATCAGTTTAGCCTTCCCATAAATATAATTTCCGGATTAGAAACATTAAACAACAGCATTCCCAGCATGGAAGACATTGAATCAAAATTAGACGCTATTATATCGACGCCACTTGAGGATCTTCGTAAGGTCGTCAAAACCTCAATGTCAAATGTCCGATTCGACGAATCCCTTTTACCAGTACCACCGAAAAACAAAGTAGAATTTTGTGCCCAACATCTGGACCTTAGTGTTCTCGATGAATTAGCTCAAGACCTCATTAAGGCAGCGCGCATTGGAATTGCCATAGTAGCAATCCTCGGTCTATTGATGATTATAGCAAATGCTATTTATATCAAGTTCTCTCATTGGCGATTCATGGTCCACGTGGATCGCACCACCGTCACAATCCAATTGGTAAACATCACATACACTCGAGAATCGACGATTGAACTTATCAAGATTGCGGATCATCCCTTGATCTCACGATGGATCATCAAATCATCGAAATTCTTCAAGAGATCAGAAAACCGGAATTTGTATCGTTGGTTTTGGGATTACATCCTCCATCGGCCAGCCATAATCGTTTTGTTGATAGGAATAGTTGGTATATTGGGAATTTACGTGCAAATTTTGATCCTGAATGTCGTTCGTCAAAATTATCGTGAACCCATAAAACAAACAATCAATACTTTCGGTAATGCGGTCATGAATCTAGTAAATAGCCAGATGAATTCGACCTCAATAAAGTTTGCGAGTGATAGCAACTTCGTCATTGCGGATCTTGAGAAAGTTGTTAATAATGACTTATTTGGTTGGGTCAACATTACCACCACGGCTATAAACAATACGTTGAATTCAGCGGTGGATGAAATTACCGGAGTAATTAACACCGTTTTTGGAGGAGTCCCGATTTTAGCCGATGCCGTGCAAAAACTAATTGGATGCTTGATTTTCGTGAAAGTTCAAGGGATCCAAAAAGGTCTGAAGTTTATCTCGGATAACGCGTATGTGGAGCTACCAAAGGTGAAGGATACGGTGTTGGTAATTAGTCAGAATAGAATGCAAGAGGTTGTTAATGAGGCCACCGACAAGTTGGTTGGACCCCAAAATGCGACTAGCGCTGATTCAACGTCAGATAATAGCGGAGGTGAGATCGGACGAATCTTCGATAAATATGAAGAGGCACTAAGAAACGAACTGTACGTCTTTTGGATAATGCTTTCTGTGTATGGAATTGTTGTATTGATGGGATTTATCAGGGTTGCGTGGTTCTTGTATGAACGAAGGAAGAAGAAAAAAAGAGTGACCGACGAGAAGATTTATTCCGATGACGAAAAAAAACCACCGTCGCATTATCATCAGTCTAACACATCACCATCACCAATGAAATTTTTCAGGAATAGCGTGTCGTCATTAAATCAATCAATGTATGAAACAAGGTATAACAGGGATTTGAACGCGAACATTGAGAAACGGAACATGAACGAAGATGGCAATAATGTAAATAATTATGATAGAAACCATAAAAACCCGTTTGATGACACTAATTCCTTGGGAAACACAAGAAAACCGCCACTGCCACCGAAACCACTATACCTCCGACCAGAAACCTTGTTAAATTAGTGTAAATCAATAGATTGTACAAAAAAGTAACAAAGCATTGACTTCATATAAATTACATAATGACAAAATGATAGTTCGAACTTTGTCAATAAATTCTTGATCAAAAAAAATTCACACATCATTATGAAAATAAAGATTTTTATTTAATTCATAAAAGTCCACGGATTTTACTAAGGTTAGGTTAGGTATCATTAATAGATCATCAGAACGTTGTGTAACAGCAAACGATCGGTGGACAGATATTCCTTCTATATATGTAAAAGGGAAACCAATTTAAATTTCGTTAGAATGTCTTTCTTTTTTCAAATTGGTCCAGTGAAAACGGAATTTACTCAATTGATGAATCTTACGGATTCTTAAAACCAAAATAATTTATTGGTTACATTTCTAATTTTAGATTTTAGCGTCCAATGTCACGTTCGCTACCTCCGGAAGTTCTCCAGGAAACCTTCAAATATCTTTCTGGGAATGGAGAATATCGAGTCAAGGATCTGTTTTCATGTGCGCTAACAAATCGAGAATGGTGTAATAGTGTAATTCCCATCCTCTGGAATCAACCGTTCTCATATTACAAACAATCTCAACTCAATAGTGTCATCATTACTTTCATGGCATCTCTCGATGCTCCAACCAAAAATCAACTCAAGAAGAATGGTATCAAAGAACCAAGTCTAATGAGCACCCCAGCATTTGATTATCCATCGTTCATGAGGTCGTTGAATTACAATGGTCTTCGCGTTTCCATAAGGCGATGGTGCTTTCATACTTTGGCTAACAAGCCAATCAAGAATGACATTCCATTCTATTACAATCTCCTGTTAAGAGCGTTCGTAAAGCTCCTTTGCGAGCGTTGTAACAATTTGGATACTTTTTTGGTCGAGACTTGCATGAACCCTTGGTACTTTTCAGATTCCACGACCAATTTGGACGGTGCTCATTTGTTTTTGTGCGAACCAGGAATTCATTCTCTGATCGCTCCCGTGAAAAAAATGAAATTTAATGCGAATTCAAATATACATCATTATCTCAACAATACGAAGAATATTCAATTGTCACAAAGCCAAGCGGAAAAATTAGCAGCGCTGATGATAGTGAAGAATTACTTGGAATACTTTCAACTCGTCAATTGCATTAGGTTCACTTCTGTAATTTTAAACGCCCTACAAAGTCAATCGCACTCCATCAAAGAACTCATATTCCTCAATGTGAATTTTTTTGACTGTACAACATTTAAGGGTTGGCCGTCCTTCAAGAAATTGGAAAAATTGAAATTCCTGAGATGCGGCGGAATTAATGAAGAATTCATTGAAAACCTGGTGGGTGCATCGTTTCCTAATATTGTTGAGGTCACTGTGAATTTCCAAGAGAAATCTCAACGATTAGAAGGATGGGCCTCAAAAATTAATGAGAAGTTCTTAAGCAGGGCCGATGAATGATGAAGGTGTGAGCTTTTAGCATACATCGTTCCTCTGTGTACATGCTATTCTTTTCTCCGAACATCTTCCTCTTGTTCTAATCGTCTTCCACTTCTTGTCAATCAATGAACGATTGTTTTCAGAGCATCTGGTATCAATGGAGAACCTTCCCAGTTTTATTTAGATTCTAGCACTTTCAACTACATCGAACTTGAGATTCTCTTCGATTTCTTAGCATCTCATTTATCCTGAAAAAAAACCTCTGTTTCTTTGATAATTTAAATTCCAAAAATTCGCAAACCGTAACTGTTAATAGCATTTTAGGACACAATATAATCAGATAATACTGTATAATCAGGCGAATAATTGTATATGATTCATTTTATAATCCAAGAGCCCTTTAGATTTGTGCAAGTGACATGTTTAAATATACGCGTCCACGGCCAAATTCATGCGCAAACAACTCTTCATAAATCGACTGCACTCGGAATTTCTAAACATATGATAGAAGATACAGTATTTAAGAAGGCTTTTTATTTGTTGTTCCATGGCAACCGTTAACAGGGCGCCGGGTTCTTTACGAATTTACGTATTGCTTGCGTGAGGTTACGTGTACGGATGATAGCAAGTGGTTCTTTACGGCCAGTCAACTTGGTTTATATTTATTCATTTAGATATTAGTTTTGTATCCAGGAACTTCTCTTTAATTTTTTTTTTTTTAATGACACTAAGCATTAAGTCAATTTGCGGAGGATCTTCCTGTGTAATACTGTTGATATTATTTATTTATTAAAATGCAATGGAATTTATTATTACTATGTACAGTATTTTAATTATTACAATATATACAGTAAATAATATCATACAGTATACAGTATAATATTAAAACCAATCTTGTTTTTTGAAAATAAACAAATCTCTTTGTCTATTCTTAATTAATATTTGTAAAAATTATTTTAAACTTTAATCAAAAGAGGGTTTTTTTTTTTTATAACATTAACAATGAAATTAAGAAACATTAAGATTTAATAAAGAATGACGTGTTTTATATTTTAATTTTTATCTTATTTGTCTTACAGTATATTGCATGTGTAATATGTCAAGTATTATAATTTAATTTGAAATTTTTATAATACATCAAAATTTTGAATTCATATTATATAGTGCATATTTTAAATAGTAATTTTTAGAAAATTGATTTTCAAATAAAAATTAAAAATATTTTATAAAAAAAGCAATAAAATAAATAAATACATAAATAAATGTATTTAATTTTAATTTTATTTTTATATTTAATCAATTGCATATAAGTTTTTTTTTTTTTTTTTTTTTTTTTTTTTTTTTTTTTTTTTTTTTTTTTTTTTTTTTTTTTTTTTTTTTTTTTTTT